TGTGATCACCTGACGAGTCGACCCTTCTCCTCCCACTTTAAGTAATGCTCGTTTAAAAGTGTCTACAAAACGCTCTGCTTGTCCGTTTGATTGTGGATGATAGGGTGGAGAACGAAGATGAGTTATTCCGTTTGTTCTACAGAAATGTTTAAACAATTCTGTGGCAAACTGAGAGCCGTTATCCGTCACTAAGGTCTCTGGTACTCCGAAATAGCTAAATAGGGTAGACAACTTGTGGATTGTTTCTGACGTTGTACAATTTGGCATGATATATACTTCCGGCCATTTAGTGAATGCATGTACGATAATTAAAAACATTTTTCCTTGGATTGGACCGGCAAAATCTGCGTGAAGTCTTACCCAGGGTCCTGCGGGCGTAGGCCAATATTGAGGTTCACATTTCAAAGGATTTTTAGCGGCTTGAATGCATGATGAACAGTTACGGCGTTTATTCTCGATATCTTTGTACATTGACGGCCAATAAGCATAACTACGAGCCAACGATTTCATTTTATTGACTCCAGGATGGCCACTGTGAAACTGCTTGAGAATCTTGTGACGTAATAACAATTCGATCACCGAACATAATACACGAGTCAACAACCATTAGTGAATCCCGTCGACGAAAATATTGCAAACGTTCTCCGTCAAGGCGATTGTTTGGCCATTTGGACGAAAGATAGCATTTAACTGTGCTCAGTATCTTATCATTTTCAGTGATCTTCTTGATAGTTTCAGAGGTTACTGGGAGTCCATTAATTGCGTCGTCCAACACACGATGAACTTCTTCCTCGGCTTTTATATTTGCTACAAGAGTCTCCTCTAGGTTTTTTGATTGGGAGCCTATTAATCTAGACAATGCGTCAACATGCCCGAAGGTGGTAGTAGACTGATACCTGATCTTGAAGTCGTAACCCAGAAGCGTGGTCGCCCATCGTTGTAGTCGGTTAGCTGTATGAACAGGAATTCCTTTCTTTGACCCAAAAACTGCAAGTAGTGGCTTATGGTCTGTTATTAGGGTAAAATGTCGACCATATATCATCTTGTGGAACTTTTTCACTGCAAAGATAATTGATAGGGCTTCTTTCTCGATTTGGCTATAGTTCCTTTCGGTCGTTGTCAAAGATCTGGCAGCGTGTGAAATAGCTTTTTCAGACCCATCAGGAAAAATGTGAGAGATAACTGCGCCCACACCATAGTTAGAAGCATCTGAAGCGACGACTATCGGTAGAGAAGGATCATAATGTGTCAATAAGAGATCGGAAGTTAGGAGTTGCTTGATTTTCACAAAAGACGCTTGGCAGTCTGCAGACCAATTCCATTTTGTATTCTTTTGTAGTAGGTTGTTTAGTGGAGCACGTAGACGATGGAGATTGGGAAGAAAGGTACCGTAATGGCTGACCAATCCCAAGGATAATCGTAGGGTAGTAATATCCCTGGGTCTAGGCATTGTTTTCACTGCTTCAATGTTCTCTGGATCTGGTTGTTTCCCGTCTTTATCTATTATGAACCCAAAGTACCGTACTTGCTGCATATAGAAGTCACACTTTTCAGCTCGGAGGCGAAAACCATAATCGGCTATGCGTTCTAGTACCTGGTCCAGTTTCTTCTGCAGATCCATTTTATCTACTGCCATAATTATGATGTCGTCTAAGTAAGCTGCTGCCCCTGGAATACCTTGTAATATAGTATCCATAATTTGCTGGAAAATAGAGGGCGCTGTCTTCACCTCAAAAGGTAGTCGGTTATACCGGAACAGACCTTTGTGTGTGTTGATCGTTAAGAGACCTTTGCTTTCATCAGATACCGGGATTTGTGGATATGCGTCTGATAAGTCCAATTTCGCAAAATATCTGCCACCGTTCAGCTTAGCGAAAAGATCTGATAAGGGTAACAGATACTGGTGAGACTCTAGAGCTTCATTTAATCCCCTAGTCTGCACAAAGACGGACATTTCCATTCGACTTCTTGACCACCACTATTAGTGCAGCCCAGTTCGAGAAGTTCACAGGCTTGATAACACCCATTTGCTGAAGTCGTTGTAATTCTTGTTCAACTATTGGAAGAGCAACATAGGGTACAGGTCTTTTAGGTCGAAAAACGAGAGTAGCTGCAGGTTTTAGAGTTAGCACTGCTTTGGCTTTCGTACATTCCCTCAATCCTTCTTTAAACACGTTTCGGTGTCTTTGTAGCATGGCATTTTTCTGGCTCCACTCTGGGGTGTTGTCAGTTCTGATTCGTCTGCCGATACTGTTAATAGAATGGTTTGCTAGTTGAAGTGTTTCTATAAGATCTAACCCCATTAAGTCGAGTGCTGGTTTCTTTGTAAGTTATACTGTTGCATTTGTTGTTACAGTACCTTTAGAAACAGTGCATGGCACTTCTCCAACAATATTTAACTCCCCCCCAGATGCACTGTGTGCCAGCTGTGTTGTTGGGAAAACTGTGGATCTTCCGATGTTCTTCCACGTTTCTGGACTGATTAGAATAATGTCAGAAGCTGTATCAAGCTGAAGGCGAGTACGGTGTTTATTAATATTCAAGGTTACGTACTTTCTTTGGCGGTAACTTCGTACTTTGTTATGTGATACCAATATTTTGTTGGTTGGAGCACTATATCTGTATTTCTTTGAGTAAGATTTCAAGGAATGTTGTCTATAGTTTCTTCTCCTGCAGAAGTTTTCTTTATGCTTCTTCCGATGGCACTTACTACAACAATGTTCTTTGTACGGGCAGAACCGCTTATAGTGCCAACCTCCACACGCCCAGCATGGAGATGATGGTTTGTCGCTGTTATTTCGATAATTATGGGTACTGGAACCTTGAAAGATTTTTCTCTTGACTGCATTGACGTTATGGAAAGAGTTACCGTTTTCTACCATTGAGGTATCATACTTTAAGTTTACTAACCTTTGGCACTCAGTAGTCAATTCTTGCAGGGTCATGTTAGGGCAGTGTTCGAGTTTGCTTAGGATTCTGGTTCGGATATCGGAATCTTCGGGTGAACGCAAGCTGCAGATAAATACTAAGCATTTAAACTGATCTTCAGACATGGATGGCAATCTGAACCTCTCACATTCTCGGTCCACAGTTCCTGCATGCTTCACCCAGTCATCGCCTGGTTCTTTCGTTAACTTTAAGCACTGGTAACGGATATTAAATAGCGATGATTGTTCTCCGAAGATTTGGGACAGGGTTTTGACTGTATCATCAAAACTAAAATCTCGTGGATTCTTCGGAAGAATGAAATTGCTATAGCGTTCATGTTCTATAGTCCCAAGTTTTCTAAGAAGTATTCTGACTTTTGAAGCATCATCCAGTTTGCAAAGATCAATATAAAACAAATCTTCATACTTCTTAAACCAGGACTCGAAAGTTACACCTGCTACACCATCAAAATTAAATTCATGGATGGCGTTAATGACTGAATCAGTATGTGATACTTGAGATTCACTAGAAGCAGGGTTTCGCTGGGACAGGCAGAATTTCTGCATCAGGGTTTCCATGATTCTAATTTGGGACTCTTCAAACCTCTTTTCTTGACTTCTAATTGCTCCACGGAAATATTTATTGTTGTTTTCATCCCCGTCGCCACTGATAAGTCTTGTCGATTGAACGCTATATTTATTTCCTAAGCTATTCCGTTGACCCGCACGCTAGAATTACACAGCGACTTGAACACCAGAGAGAAGCCGCAAGTATGAGAGAAAATTCTTTACTCCAAGGATCATTGTTGTACAGAAAGCATGGGTATTTATAGATGTTGACGTTTGTTAAATCAACATCATATTTCAGCAAATCCGTTAACGACATATTGTGCTACTGACCAATAGTAGCACGCCAAGTTGGAATTCTAGAATGCTCCATCGTGCTCTGATTGGCTAGGACTCTTCGGCTCCTTTTGGGCCTCTGGAGGCTCCATTGAAGTTCTCCGAAAACCAACTCAACAGATACTTTAATGCTATCAAAAATGATGGGTAAATGCACTAAATACATAGTTTGAAGTTTAACCTTTTTGTAATGTGAATGGTCTGATTCAAAGGCGATAGTTCATTGGTCCGAATCAAAACAACATAATATCCTGACCAATAAATCACAAATCAATATTATCAGTCAGTATATCCCAAAATTGGAACTTCGCGACACCAACGTTAGTGTTAGGAAAAAGGACATATCACTTGAAATCACCCAGATGTAATGTGACTCAAAGACCAGTACGCAAACATGTACTTATTAAATGAGTGTAAATAAGAAATGAAAATCAGAAAATCAACAGTTTGTTGAGATAGACTGATGAATAACGCACTAAAAGTTGTCCGTTGATGTTCTTTATATTAACTAATTTATACTACGACAGATGAATTGATAGATACACTCAACATCAGAAGATTGAATCGATAGTCTAGTTAATTTGAACTAAGCAAGTGATAACTGGAGATTAAGTATGTTGTACGGCAGTAGATGTAAAGTTCATATAAACCTTAAGACCACTACCAACAACAACATCCATCCAATAGTTTACATAATCAAATACTCCCAACATTATACCCGACTCTGAGTAGTGTTCCTGATAGTCCCAGAACAAATTGAGGTCAAAGTTCAGAACATGATATTAAGATTTATCATCAGTATAAAGATCTAAATGAATGGTTTGAAACGACTAGACATTTGACCAATCAAATAATTGTCAGAAACATTAACATGGAAAGATAACAAGAATAATAATTGATATAATTCATCTATCAACTAAGGGTTTGCGTAGTCGACCTTAATATTTGTGTGGCAGCCGGTGATATCCTGTTGGTCATGAGGAAGTAGGTGGTGTGTTATGTCATATCAGAGTGGAAATCAAACCTGTGAAATCACTTGATGCTTAAAATCGCTAGGTTAAAGATACTACATACTAGTAATAAAATTATCCGGTAAGATTATCTGAACAATGTTCTATTGACTAAATATAAAACAAATGATTATCCACATAGACGTATACACTCGCTTACCCGTGCCGTCGGATGATAACATATTATCAAATTTTTCAATGCACTTCATCATCTCATGATTATCCTCAAAATCATTAAAATGATTATGAACCCATAATAAAATTATACGATTAACACGTGTACGTAACTTTGGATTATGCAAATGCCATGATAATAAACGATCAACTATTGGTCGGGGTGAATCTAAAAATGTACGATATGTAAGTAGAAAATCTTCTGGATACGATATATCCCCATCGGACAGATCAGCAATTAAATGTTCAATTAATTTCTCCGGTGTGCCCTAAAATAATTTGAACAAAAAAAGCAATGAAATATTGGTTCGAAAACAATATCAGAAGTGATTGAATAATTGATGTTTGTATGTATGCGAATCTACAATTAAAATAGTTTACTAATGAAATTGTATATTTTTTTAAAGATAGTAACTTAAGTTAAAAAAGATACGGATTTACAACCAAGATGACTCATTACGAGTTGAATGTATTCAAGTATTTACATTAAACAAGTAAGTTCGTGGGGAGTATACGTGATTATTTAACGAGAGCTCTTTCATAACTGAAAGGATATTATGAACATATCCTTAAAAAAATGTGATAAACATTTTCACGATATTCTGAAAAAGTAATAACGTACTAACATATCTCTTCAAGAATAGCAGAAACAATATTTGATAAGTATACTCTTTGTACACAGAAAATCTGTTATATCTTGAAAGTTGATTTTTCTCGATATACCGCGTATAACAGAGCACTAGAACACCAAAACCCTTCCAAGTCGCAATAAGAAGACAGAAGACTAATGAAAGGAATATTATTCCGAACAGTGTCAATCATAGTACAAACTTGTCAGGTATTTATATTTTTTAGTGAGAACAAAATCATCATTACAGTCTTCCAATCCGCATACAGGGGGTTATTAACATTATCCAATCGGGGAGCTGCATGTTGGAATTCTAGAACGTTCTTCTGTAAGGTGATTGGATGAGACGTCTTCGGCTCCTTTTGAGCCTCTTGCAGCTTCTTCGAGTTCACCGGTGGTCCGTCGTCACAAAATCATCAGCAAGTACATGGTTTCAAACTGACACCAGCGTCGTCATCAATAGTGAACAGTTAAGACGAATGTTTGTTAGACCTACTCAAGTAACAGAGTGTGCGTTAATATGTAACAATCATCTTTAAAGTGAGTTGACGGTTGATAACTAAAATTTTTATCACCCCAACACTACAATAAATTTAAATGTTGGATGCTTGGATCAGTTTGTTACAAGATTGTGGTTGATCAAACACATCATGAAAAAAAAACAGACACTAACACATTAGGTTATTCATAGTGATACAGTGAAGTTGGAGAATTTTTGGGATGACTGGTTTTGATTAACAGTGTTCTTTTCATGCAAACTGATTACTAAGCATCAATACAACTGGTTCAACACAAGCTCCGACGTAATATAAACGATCATATCATATCCCAGATGTACTTCTATAGATACACATGGTAATTGAGCAATACAATTAAACGGTAAGCAATTATTTCCCTAACTGAATAAGAAAAGTTTTATTATTACTTGCATCGAAGTCTTATAACAAAAACTTTAGAAGTAATATGACATAACAATCTACAGAATTTCTGATTTCATGTAGGTTGGTAAATACAGAAAGTTGAAGTCTGTCACCAACAGAATGATAACACATAAAAATTTATAGACAATTGGGAAGTGTTGCAGAACTGTTTTATTCACATTTTCTACTACGGAGTAGCGTGAACTCATGTCCTGGTAAAGAGTTAATTTTATGACATTTATATCTCCCAGCTAACATAATACATATGGACGGTTGAGTAAAGAATCAATCCATTATTTCAGAGTTAAATTTCGTGTAGCTATCCACATCCATGTATGGTTGTGGATGCAGACTTTTAACGAGTTAAACTAAGGTAAAACAGCTGCCCAATACCCTAATGGTTTTCAGATCATTCTTCACTAGTTAATTAATTTTAAATGTAACCATATATTCTAGTTAAAAGTAACGTTAACGAGTTTTCTGAATTCATTGACCTTTTTAAACAAAAATCTTCAAAACAAACCTTTGTGACCAGTCGACATTTTTTCAACAACACAGAACTATTGTCATTGGATGATTTATTCGAATCGATGTTAAGAGTTGTGTCTAAATTTATTGATTCATAGACAAGGACAACACGTCCACCTTCACCCATCTCTGGTATTTCAGCTTCGCCTTCACGACTCATAATATTTACATAATCGGTTTGTGGTACACATAAAAAGTGACAGTCTTCAGTGACTGTACGCATTACGCCATGATGAATACAATCTGTTTTACCAAGACGAACACCGAATGCATCACCACGAGTTAATTCCCGAATTGTATCGTCTGGTTCAATAACCTGAGGAAAACAATTTTCGAAACAGGAGACAATGAATAGTTAACAAGAGAATGGGCAACGTTAAACACAGACAAGAAAATACATTGTGATTTTAACTTTTATTATTAAACACAATGTGAAACGACCCAAATAAACAAATTGTTAATACTGAAAGAAATTATATAGATAGATAGATAAATGGTCAGTATCCGTAGTGTTTTTCGCAAAATTGGCGAATTCACTCATTTTTGTGTAACTCAGTAAAAACGTACAGGAGTCGTGTACTCAGGTTTGAACCACACCTCCATTCTGTGAGAACTAATGATGGTGTCCGGCTGCCTAAACTGAAGTAGGTGTGGAGATCTTTGAACTGGTAATAATAAGCATTAACTAATAAAAACATCAATTAAATGTAATTGCTTGTTATTACAAAGCAATCAGGCTTACTCAGGATACGCAGTGTTAGGCAAAGGGTTGACAATTTCTGATGATAATTTTTTGGTTGATATTTTTTTTGTTTCATGTGTTAAGCTTAGAAATATTGTGGTAACTATCGTATCGTACGGTATATACAAAAACCATGTAGGTGTGTGCTCGCACAACATAATGCAAAAGAATATGCTAAATTATCAACTAACCTCGACAGTCCCATTCAGCACAACAGACCAAGTGTCCAATACTTCATTATCATTCAATACGATTTGACCAGCTTCACGAACAATGGCTAGCACCATGACTGAGCATAGGGAACGACATGTAGCTTTAGTTAGATTAGAGAAAGCCTAAAATGTATATACACGAAAAATAACGAAATAACAAACAATTCCATTGAGAAAGATGTACATTTACAAAGATAGAACCAATGGGAACGCAATGTGGAGGCAACTAATATGTATCTAACGAGATACTATCAATAATAGCTAACGTAAATATTGAGAAAATCTGTGGTTCTTTCCCTATGAACTATAGATTATCACTCTGTATATGAATTCTGATAATGGAATGATAATATGCCATGAAAATCCCTATTAATTTATTTAATAACCTGGTTGGGAGCACAGACTGTTGACCAGGAATGCCTAACTAACTCTGTCTTGAGCTCCCCTTTTCGGTGCTCCCAGGTGAAACTCACTCTCTCGATGTCTGACTCCGATTTTTGGCACCATATGTTCTCTAATCTGCCTCTTACAATTTATCTTTGAAGATTTCAAGTAACGAATTATTTTATGATGTAGTTTGATGGTTTTCGCATTATGTACTATCCCCTTGCAGCGTCTTTTTATTTTTTCCTCAGTTGGCATCTGGTCTCTTATCAATGGATGTGGAGAATTTTACGTAAACACATGTTTATAAATACCTTTACTTTCTCGGTGATGGTAGTTTTCTAAGTTTCAGCTCTAAAGAATAAGACTGTTTTAACGGCGGTGTTGAAAATTCTGACAGTGATTTTGGGTGACAGTTGTTTTGAAAAGCAGTTATTCTTAAACTGTAGAAATGTTGCCCATGTTTTACCAAATAGTCCCCTTGAAATCTGCATACGATCCTCCTTGTTTATCAATAACATAACCCAGATATGAAAAGGCTTCCACCACATTCAAAACTTTATTATCAAGTGTGATTTGGTTGGTACTTGCTGTGTTGTAATTTAGGATTCTGTTTTGCGCCTTTTGAATGTTTAGACCGACTGCTGAGAAGGCCTCTAGATTTGTCTGCAATTGTTGCAGAAGGATCAAGTCATATTCAAAGTTCAAATCTTACAGGTCCATCCAATGTTTTTACTGTATTCTATGCTTCTGAGGTGAATAGGTCCTAATAAAGTGGACTGGAAGAAGACTAGTGGTGGCCAAACTAAGATTTGGTATTAATTCGTAAAGTTATTGACTACTGAAATGACTCATCTTCGTAGGTGTAGACTACCTGGTTGAGGTCAGAACGACTAACAAGCCCAATGATTGGAGACAGTGGGTGACAGCTCATAATCGGTCACAAATGCATTCTTTGTCTAGCATTAGATACTGGGTTTTGAAAAGATTTGATGCTTTTCAATCCGCAAATTCATTTTTTCTTCTTCCATTATATTCTGTGTAGTATTATTTTGCTTTCACTGATACTTTAAGATTTATCTTGCTAATTTCGTCTCATTGTGTTGACACTGTGCAGTAATTTGAGTAGATGCACATTCGTAGCAGGCTTTTACATTGCTTATGAATGACTGGAAAGGAAGTTACAAATAACTGATGATACCACCGCATTGAACGTGGTAACATAGTGCACCAACAATGAAATTATATGTGAGCCTCGATGATTAATGCGGACGTGTTAGAGTTTTAGGAGCAGCGGAAATCAATATTTGAAGATAATATAAAAAATTAATTGCAGTGCTGTATTTTCATCGTGGTTATGATCTATTTTGCACTTTACAGTAATTTATTTCGAAGTGTGCTTATATGCTTTTCTAAAATTCGGCAACTTTACAGTTTGATTATCATGCTTCAATCCCTAGAATGAATCTAACGACAAGCATTTTCGTTATTCAAAAGGCGGAAACCGCATTTGGACCAACAATGAGTATTGAACAGATAAGGTTGAAACGAAAATTAGGTGACATATAAATATTGGAGTAAACTCAATAGTGACAGATAACATAATACGTATTCAACGAATAAAGGTTTGTATATTCGGGACTAGGCATACTTAAAGTGTCAGGGTTAGCGTTATCGGTGGGCTATCAGAATCAAAAGAGCCACCTCTTTTGAGTTGAGTTCAAACACGAGACACAGTGTATGAAAGTCAAATGTTGCGACTTCTGGGATATTGCCCCGATTACGATAGAATTACCAAAGTCAATAGCATTTCTAGTAGACAGATGATTGAATTTGGAATAATCAGAGCGTTATATAGATAAATAAGGCAAAAAGAAATCTACAACAATGAAAGTCGTAACACTTCTCTCAAGATGACTTCAGTAATATTGAAACAGTAAGAATTTACGAAATTTGCGTGTCGAAAATCGTTTTTATCCTTAGTCAACATAAGCCTGAACTACAAAGTTGTGCAATTACTTGCCTTTGACGTTTGCAATTAAAATTGACCACATTTTAATTAAATTTATTTATGTATCGATTCATAATACCAAGCATACTGGTGTAAATTTCATCCTTCGATTATAAGTTTATCTGTGCACAATAAAGAACGGAGGCATTGCAATAGCAACAATACTGTCGAAGCTTTAAGAATCCTGTAGTGACCGAGAACACAAGCGGGGGCAATCGAATACACATGAACATAAAATTACAGAACATCTTGGTAAATTTTGAGAACCATGCAATAAATTCTTCATTTTTAAAATGTCAGTCGTCTCAGACCTCGTTGTTCCTGCATTTCTATACCGATTGCTTTCTGTTCCCGTTCTTTCCTCCTCGGTCATCTCAACCTTCTGCTGACAGACATTCTATTCCTGCCTAGTGTTATATACCACTTATGTCGACATAAGTAGTACACATGACAAGACAATACTAATAGTAGTGCATACACAGTAGAAATAAGAATTTCAATTTTTTCGAAATATAGCATTCCAATCGACCCATTCCTTCATTACTTTAGCTGACAGAATCCAGTAATTCCCTACGTCTTAAAACATGAATATCGCAACTTAAAGTTATATTAGTAGCACAATATTAAGTGATTGAAATAAAAAGCTACCGATGATCTGAATGATAACCTAGACTTTGAGTAGTGAGAGAACAGGTTGGTGGATCTTTGAAAGTTGGCAATAATTATAATTAAATAAACCCAAATGAACAACTGAGCATTGATAACAATGCTAGAATGTTGGATAGAACACTATTTTCAACCATCCTTCAGACTAATCGCTTCTGAATTACAGGTCAAACAGGTGTAAGTAAAGTTTTTTCGGTAAAATCAGTTTGATGTGCTCTTGTTATACATATACAGCAAACCATTTAAGATGGATATAGTTACATTATGTTGTACGAGACAATAATAATAACGAAGAATAGCTATGAGATATGATTTGGCAAGCGTGAAAAATGCATGACAATAAAAAAGCAACATATATAAGCGAACAATATTGTTTTCGATTAGATCCTCATCAGGCTTTACTCTAATATACAGTAATATTTATATGCATATACGAAATTATTAAACCAATCAAGGTAGTTTATAAGTCAATGATAACAATGGAAAAGATTACATAATAAGTAAAATGTGAAAAGTACAAATTGATGGTGTGACAACAGGTGCATTAGTTTTTGATAAGCAATAATAATAAAGGTTCAAATCAATGTTACATAATCTGAAATAGGTCAATGATTAGAAAAATATAGAAACTTATATCAAAAACTAATGCACCTGTTGTCACACCATCAATTTGTACTTTTCACATTTTACTTATTATGTAATCTTTTCCATTGTTATCATTGACTTATAAACTACCTTGATTGGTTTAATAATTTCGTATATGCATATAAATATTACTGTATATTAGAGTAAAGCCTGATGAGGATCTAATCGAAAACAATATTGTTCGCTTATATATGTTGTTCTAAATTTACAATATGGGAATATTTCAAATAAAAAAGCAGTACTACTTTCTTATACTCACAGGCAATTGTTCAACATTTCCCAACAATAAATCGACATCTTCTTGTGTACGATCTGATGGGAGTTTAAGAATAGATTCCCAAAATGCATCACGAATAGACTATTTTATAAAAACCGAAGTTTCGAAATAAAAGAAGTAAAATTATGTAATACATGAATAAAAAGTTATGTGTCAAAAATTGAGATTCTATTATCTAAAACTTGCGAGTTGTACGCGACTACTGGACGAGTAATATATATATATATATATATATATATATATATATATATATATATATATATATATATATATATATATATCATGGACCAACACCAATGAGATAAATACAAAACACCAAAAAGCACAGGACAGATGTTTTGTTTTGGTACGCGATTATCGAACAGTGTGCACCTACAACCCTGGCAGAAATCAAACTCAAAACCTTCAGATGTTGTAGTCAAGGTGTTGATGTTGGGCCATTGAATTGATACTTGGATTTTCACAGATACTCTCTAATTTAAATTAGTTGTCTAACCAAAGTGACTTCAGCAAATAATGTACTCTCTGCCTTCTCGTGGTGGGGGTGTTGTTTACAGAATTAAGGGGACGAAAAGCGAATGTCTGGCGATTTAACCGGGTTAGTGGACATGGAGAGTCCACCTAGGGGAGTTGGGAAACCCTTATTCCAAACCAATGGTGCACATGAGCTCCAGTATCCTGAAGGAACAAATGGCGTATGAACCAATCGTTGGTCACCAGCTACTATGGGACTGCATCTCCTTACGATGCTCCACTGGCTTGTGGATCAGACCTTCAGGTCGAAGGCTCCGGGTGTGGCTCCCTAAGAAAACCACCTACTTCGGTTTGGGCACCCGGGGAGTATCCCAGTCCTCACACAAATCGAGTGATTTATGTGGCACATATCTATTTGGTGCCTCCTTGTATCAATGTTTGTGTGTTTAAAAAAACAGATAAATCCATACATTTAAAGAAATCTAAAATCAAGAAGTATCTAAGGATATATATATATATATATATATATATATATATATATATATATATATCACGGACTAAACGGGTTACAAGTAGTTGGAATATATGCTAGAGGAAATCCAGAAACAAAGCAGGATAAGTACACTTTGAAATTAAGTACACTACAAACCTCATGACTACTTGACTCAAGCTCTTCATCTTCATCCTCCTCATCATCATCGTCATCATTATCATCATCATCATCATCATCATCACCTTCAGAATCCATACAATGGATATTGTCTGACCCAGTCTTATACCATTTAGGATAGTTATAACCTATCTTTTTGTTGCGTTTTTCTGGAGATTTTAAAACGCACGAATGAGTTGAACGTCCATGACTTGAATCATTTTGAACACCTCCAGAACTAAAAGAATGTGTAGATGATGTTTCACTTAAATATAATGATTTCAATGAATTAACAGCATCAGCCTGTGTACTCCTGGTAGGTCGTCTATGGATCTTGCTTTGGTCAGAATTCAGCAAAGATGAGATTTTTAATGACGAGCTGATACTATGAGACGATTCCGAATAACGATCATTTGATAAAATTTCACGTGAAGTATCATTATCATTGAATGAGACCGGTGCATGATCTAACGAATGCTAATACAAAAGTTATTAAAATGATTAAATAAATGTTGAGTACATTTCGAGTAGGAAATACTAAATAAATATTACAAAATAGCCACAAGCTGTATGGACAATAAATAATAACTAAGTATTCATAATATATGCATCTTCAACGATACTTCAGAGTTATGTCAAGGTTTAGTCATTAGAAATCAATGAAAATAATTTTCAAATGCAATGTAACTCATTTAACCAAATACAGGTTATTTAAAATTTGAATGAACCATAAAATTCATAATAATAACAACTGTGACGGAATCAATCTAAAAATTAGCACGCCGTAAAATCTAATGTGATTCAGAAAAAGCATTACCTTTTCCTGGTAATACATTCTTAAATTATGAAGCTACAAGTAAAATTTGAACAGTCAAAAGAATTAATCACAGAGAGAAGTTGTCATCGCTTTAGCTTATAAACAGTGTGTGATGTTACACAAGTGGCTAAGTTAAGTTGAGATAGGCCAAGTACCTAAAATGACAAAAGTCATATAAATTATCCAAAAAGAACATAAGATGAAATAAAAAAATGCAAGATGAATGTAATCTATCAAAATTTATCACGGTTATTAACATTGCCATGCTAATCAACGTAATCAACATATGATTAACCACCGTATGTGAGTCAAGCAGAAGTGATATGACTAGTGATACTACTGAGTTACCTAAACTGAAGTAGGTGGAGTGGGGTTCGAGAAGATGGTCTATTGGGTGAAAGCTGGGAGAATTAACAACCAAATCACTTCTTAAAGGCACTAAGATATATCGTTCTCAGTATGGGGTTGTAGGGATTGTTGAATTTTTGATTGAGATCATGAACCGATTGATGTTAGATCACCACTGAAAACCCGGGAGCACTGGACGGCTGTTTCTTCCTAGCATGGGACTCCACAGCATTATGCATCCACGGTCTTGCTGGCAGGGTTCGAACCCATTACCTTCGGTCTTGCGGGCGAACGCTTGACCTCTAAACCGCCGAGCTGGCATCCAGTGGTGTTAATGTCTAACTTCAACCAATCCACGAAATTGTGCGGCCATCTTACATTGTCTGAGGTAGATAACTCTCTATCTGACATGGATTAGCGCCACTGGTCATAGCTTATCATTAGAACTTCGAGAATGACCTCTCGAAGCTAGTCACTAGTGACCACATGGTAATTATCAGTATGGGGTTGTGGAGATTGTTGGTCTAACATCAATCGGTTCATGGTCTCAATCAAAAAATATGTCGTTATGGTGTTGTAGACGATCATAACACACCAAACTGGGAAAATTGTACAAACCTGGTAACATACGAACACAAAATTTGTCTAGGAACTTTCAAACACGATAGTAAAACTAAAGTGAGTGAACAAGTTCGAGAGAGATGATATAAATTTGACAATTTGTATCATTCAAAGTAAATGATCCATGAAAAAGCGCAAAACTTGATGAAACTTACCCTATGCTTGGACGGAGCCACTGCCAGATGTTGCGTATTAGTAAATGATATGGGTAAACTATGATTGTCCAAATAATCGATCTTTAGTAAAACAAAAATATAAAACAATTTTTAAACATTGAATGAGAATGCATATGATGAAAGCAATTATGTAGTTAGGTCATTAAATTTTTAGACAGAACATACAACTTATTCTTACAAACACCTTGATCCCACCATAAAGTATGAAGAAGAAACTTATGCTTAGCTACTTATTGGCTTATGATTATTCAAACCAATGTAGCACAGCTTTTCCCTAACGAGATCATTCTTAGAAACCTAGAAACAGATCATTAGGTTATATGTGAAGAACAATGAAAAAATCATTCTTAAGATTTAGAAATAATTTTACTATTATCTACAAACCAATACAAAGATTCGATTCCATTTGAAGCGGGAGACGTAACAACCGAATGAGATCAGTTTAATGTAGTTGGTACAATAAATTTTATTAAATGAAGGGAGCACTATTTATTATTTTTTTATTTATTTAAACACAAAAATTGGTACAGGGATGCACCAAATAAATATGCGTCACATAAATCATTCGATTTGTGTGAGGGCTGGATACTGCCCAGGTTCCCAAACTGAAGCAGGAAGCACTATACAAAGGAAAAGATAGATTAGTAAATTGACAGTATGATAACTGAGAACAAAAAAACTGGCAGAAATAGCAGTACGAAAGCCAGAGTATTTCTAGAAACTTGCCACCTAAGTCAATTTGCAATTAGGAGACATGTCGATAATTTGAACAAATATGAACCAATCAAATAGTCATCAAACAACAAAACAATCGAACTGTAGATACAGTAGAAAATGATAAATATCTTGAAGCAAACAAATAACAAATAAGGTCGCTAGAGTGGAATGTCGTCAAATATCAAGCATTTTTCTATCAGAAACGTTTCTTTTCCTATTGAAAGAGCATTAACTGTACATCATTTCAGATGAATCTACATCACTGAAAGTACAGAGAAATGTAATAATATGCTCGCTTATTAATGTGAAAGAAATTTTATTATTATTATTATTATTATTAAAAAAGCACATCCATAGGTGACAAATTAGAAATAAGTAGAAACTAACATACCAAAAATAAAAATGAACTTATGTCAACGACCAGTTAACAAAATATATCTTATATGATGACTTTTATAAAAAATTAAATGGATAGTTATGATAAATTTATATAAACGATGAATCCAGAACTACTGAGAAATGCTGTAATTTCCAAAACATTGATCAGAGTTAGGTAAAAAACAATTTTTCAAACAGCCATTTAGAAATCTTTAAACCTCATGTCTGAAGTTGGGTTTGATTCCCTGTAAATCGCATCCTCAATGGCTAATTCCCAAGGACAATAGTTTTTCTATAACCATTCATTCGTTTCATACTGAAATGTTTTCGGCAAGAATTACAATAAGCCTGAATTATCTTTTGATTTGACCAGGTTGGAAGTTTGTTGTGGATAGTGGTAACTTGTGCTGCGTTACTGTGTCAGGCATTCAAACTGAGTAGCAGTTAGATTAGCTGTGACGATAATTCGTACGTACAGATTATCATATATGACTGTAAGGGCGCTGACATAAATTATCCAACTACACAAACTTTGCCAAAATTAATGAATTCGAGAAATGGACTGACTAATTGAAGGTTGACTGTATTGATTGATGATTTAATTTCGATAGCTAGATTTAGAGACCATTTAAAATGGAGTTACAGATGAAATTTGAGGTGATAAGCTGACAAAAATACATAAAAAGAAAACAACAATAATAGCTCACCACAACAAGATCAGATGGTTCGAGGACAAGACAGTCATTACGGCGATAAAAATTTCCATTTGTACGAGTTCCAAAACTGTGAATAAAGAACACCAAAAGCTAACTATATATATATATATATATATATATATATATATATATATATATATATATATATATATATATATAGCTGATCTCATTGGAGAGCGGTTATTTCATTGAAAGAAATTCAAAAACCTACCCCCGTGAAAATAACTTGGGATTTGATGAGATCATTACTATATATTCAAATTATTTTGAGAATTTGAATATCTCATTCGCCATCAAAACGGTGTAACTTTCTATACAACCTTAACTAAACCTGACATAAGCCTAATGTCCTAGTACAGAGCACGACATACGCGTCAAAAATTTTCGAATCTTGAGAACTGCTTTGTTTGAATGAATTATACGATCACCTAAATCTGCGAACGGAACGAAGACACAATGACTACATAAGCCAACTATTCAGATGCATCCCAGCCCCACTAACTAAAGAGAAAAGTCCAGGTTCAGATTATTTATTTATTTGAACACATGAATATTGGTACAAGAGAGCGCCACACAAAACAATGAAAATTCGAAGAGAGATAGAAAAAAAAACTAAGGAGCACAAAATAAAAAGAGAACGATAACGAAGAGATTGGTGTAAGGTAGTGTGGTAGTAACGAGGGAACGGAAAGGTACAATCAGAAGAAATCTTTCAAGTAAGGGAGACAACCACTTTTTATGAAGAAAGTAAAAGAAGGTTACAGCAGGATCGCCACTGGCTTCTATTCTGAGCCATATCTGATGTCTCTAGCCACTGTGTAGCACCATCTCTCAGACCCCAACCAGGGAGTCGTGAAGGACCGACAGAAGCCAGTCCTTTGCAGCTTTCTTTCATACCACGACACCATGTCATGCACTGAGCACCTCTCCGCTCTTTCCAACCAGTCCCAGAGTCGGCAAATAACGCACGACGTGGAATTCTCTGGGACGACATTCGGAGAACATGTCCAAGCCACCGAAGTCGGTGTTTCAAGATGGTGACACCAATTGAATTATCATCTCTGTGCCCGAACACACGATGCCGAACCTCTGCATTACTAACATGGTGTTGCCACTGAATGTCAGCGATCCTTCGGAGACAGCGATGATCGAACACAGAGAGTCGTCTAACGTTCTCAAATCGGAGAGGCCAGGTTTCACAAGCATAGAGCAAAACTGCTCTCACCGACGCGTTGTAGATCCGACCTTTTACAGCCAGACTAACATCACGAAGGCGCCAAAGGTGGCCCAGATTGGCATAAGCCGCTCTGACTTTCACTATACGTGCATTGATCTCATCACTCACACCCCCACCAGCACTTATGCAGCTATCCAGATACACGAACTTCTCGACTACGTCTATCTGCTCACCATCCAGGGTGAGTACAGGATTGGAATCCTGCCAGTCTTGTAGAAGTACTTTGCACTTCGAAGGTGCAAAGCACATACCATACCTACGGACAATGATTGCCAACTGATTAAGTGCGGATTGCATGCCTTGGGCATTATCGCACAGTAAGACAATATCGTCCGCATACTCAAGGTCGAGAAGTCTTTCTCCAGGCAACAGATCCACACCACCATTACTTACATTCATCAGAGCTGTTTCCAGAATGTCATCGATGGTAAAGTTGAAGAGGAATGGTGAGATTGGGCAACCCTGCCTAACCCCACTACTCAAATAGAACAATGGAGAGAGGTGGTTGTATGCCAACACTCTGCCTGAGGTGTTTGTATGTAGGGCTTTCAGGATGTTAATAAACTTCTCAGGCACACCCTTCTTCAATAGACAATCCCAGAGAACAGCCCTGTTCAACGAATCGAAGGCAGCCCTGATGTCAAGAAACACTACGATTGTTGGCCTTTGATAAGTATGGCGATGTTCTAACATTTGGCGGAGGGTGAAGATATGATCAATACATCCTCGACCAGAACGAAACCCAGCCTGCTCCTCGCGAGTCAATCTTTCTCGGGTTTTGAACAACCTACGAAGTATGACGGAAGCCAATAGCTTGAACGCAATCGGAAGTAGACTTATCCCCCGATAGTTGTTGCAGGAACGACGTGAACCCTTTTTAAAGATAGGGACAACTATCGACTCATTCCATGACGTTGGTACACTCTCTAATTCCCAAACCTTTGTAAACAACGTCGTCAATTCCTTAGTCAAAAAGTCACCACCATCTTTAAAAAGAGCCGGAGGTAAGTCAACTGGGCCAGGTGATTTGTAACGCTTCAAGAGTTGGAGTTCCTTGCGGACTTCCTCCTCGTTTGGTGGATCAGTCGTCACCGGCCATGGAGGGCAGGACAGTCTGACCGATGTTGCCGGGGCAGCAGGCCAGTTGAACTGCCCTTCGAAAAATTCTGCCCATCGTCCAAGACGTCGATGGATGTTAGTGATTGGCATCCCGTCATCCTCGCAGATTGTTTCACTCACACCAGACTTCTTGCTGCCAGTGGCTCGGATGAGCTGGAAGAGCTTCCGGTAGTTACCAGATGCAGCTGCTGCTTCCAGCTCATTAGCACGCTCCGACCACCAGTCTTCTCGGTCCTTACGTAAGCTTTGCCCAATTTCCTTACGTAACATCCTTCGTTTATGGTCAAACTCACGGTCACCCGGAGTAGACCGACGGGCTTCAATAAGTTGTAAGGAACCAGAAGAAACCCAGTGCTTATAAGCGGGACGTTTCGCAAACCCACAACTGACTGTTCCCGCCATTTTCATGGCGTCATGCAATTGCAACCAATGCTCATCTATACCTTTCGGTGGAGTGGTAGCTAGCCTAGAGGCTAGCTCAGTTCGATACTTATTTGCAACAGAAGTTGAAACCAGCTTGCTAATATCAATCCTTTGATGGCGGTCACTTCGTTGTCCACTGAAAAGTAAGGCAAGATTGGCGCAGACCAGGGCATGATCAGAGTCCAGATAGGTACTCCAAAAGGAGCGGCAGTCTTGTACACAACCACGCCAGCGGTAGCTGATCACGATGTGATCAATCTGAGTCCAGGCTTGGGATGCAGAGGGAGGACACCAGGTGGCACATCGGCGATGACTGTGCCGAAAGTTAGTGCTAGCCAGAAACAGGTTGTGGTCTGTGCAAAGTTGCAGTAGACGGTCCCCGTTATCTGACCTGCGACCAACGAGTCCCCATCGGCCACCTAAACGACTCTCTTCTGTGCCTAGACGCCCGATCTGAGCATTCAAGTCTCCGGCTAGTACTACAATATATGTCGAACGCACTTTCTGGAGAAGAACAGATAACTGGTGGTAAAACTCATCCTTGATTGCATCCGGTCTGCAATCTGTCGGGGCATAGGCGGAGATGACAAAAAGACATCGTTTCTCACGCCGATTTCTTCTCACTTTGATGGAACTTTCTAATCTAACAGCACATAACCGACTGTTAATGGGGATCCAATCGACTAGTGCTGCCTCAGCTCTAGCGCTTAGTGCGACACCAACGCCAGCAAGACCAGACGAAGATGCCACAGGATCCCCGGATAAGCGCACGTAAAACAAGCTTTTCGAAGCGACAGATGGAGATCGAATTTGTAGTATTTCGCCAGAGTCTTGAATACGGGTCTCGGATAGACAGCAAACATCAATATTAAGACTTTCCAAAGACATATCCAGCCCTATCTGTTGTCCGACCTGCACTAGTGTGCGAACGTTGAAGGCAGCCAGTTTGAATGGTGCACGTGGTTTCAGAAAAACTGCTTCAGTTCTCGTATTCGGTGGTAACATACAATTTTCAACCGGACAGTGACTCGAGAACGTTTAGATACAGTCGAATTTCCACCAAAGACGAGCCGCTGTATAAGTATAAAAGAGGGTGAATAATGTGGAAAATAATAATAATAATAAAGGTCTAACCCACAAGGCAGTGGAGCATCGTAAGGAGATGCGATCCCATGGTAACCGGTGACCAACGATTGGTTCATACGCCATTTGTTCCCTCAGGATACTGGAGCCCATGTGCACCATTGGTTTGTGGTCCGGTTAAAGCGCCGGACATTCGCTTTTCGTCCTCTCATTTTCGTAAACATCTCCGTCACGAGAAGGCAATGAGTAGGACTTCCCTGGCAGAGGCTGTATACGCGCGGCCGTGTGAGAGTATTTCGAGAGGGAGAGCGAACTCTCCCCACTCTCGGCCGTACCAGGGCATTCGGGTTCAGAAGAGGGAAAGTGTATTCCACAATCCGTCAGAAGCTCGAACAACAACAAGCACAACTCAAGCATATATATACAGCACAAAAATGTTCTTGGGAAACGTTACAAAATGGCATATTAAAAGAGGCAACGGACCAGTAGCATTTAAGGTCTTCTCAAGTGGGAAATATGATATGAAGATGAAAATGGAGGCTTTCGATGAGAAAACAAGAAATTCAATTTTTTAAAATATAACTACAAAAATAAAGCATTTCCTAATTGAGCTCTGAGGATTTATCATCCGAAACATGACTTAGGATGTTATGATAATTAAACCAATTAATAAAAGATTATTATATGACAATTCCTGTCATTTATTTCAAGTCAAAATGTTCATTTCTAATGACGTTGGGGAGAACTGTGTGATATGTATATCTTAACTAATGCTTCAGTTATTGAAACCCCATTAAATATTACAACACTCGTTAGGATTATATGATATTTTCTTATTCGGTTTTACAGTTACGAATAGAGTTGGGACACCGATGTCATAATCCACCTAAAGGTATCGTCAATGTTGGGGTAACTTGGAAGCCCAGTAAACTGTCCCAGCACTGTCTTATGAATCCATCATTATTGCCTCCTTATCGAAAAGACTTGATAGTCATCGGTTAATCTCTTTAATAAGCAAAAAACAATATCTAGTTCTTATGTACTACATATCTTAATCCCCTTATTTTTTACTACTCACCTCTGATTTTCATCATTTACAAAGCTTATGTTCAATATGCCTCTCATTCATATGTATACTCTTTAAAGTTAACCAACATAGATTTTCGGAAAGTCTATTAGGTTGAGCAATACTGGTGATATCTAGTAACTATTTTTTACATATTTCATATGAAGACAAGTTTAATTATAAAATTTTAGCGATTTAATCAATTTTTCTGTAAATAACATTTAAGAAAACGGTGAAAATATATCGAGAATTAAATACGATAATACTTGAGAGTACACCAAGAAGTCATTTAAATATTTTTTGTAAATACTGATTAAAATAATGCTATTTCAAGACTAAATTATGAAAATGGCTACGATAAATGGGAATTAACTTCAACGACAATCTTACAAATCATAAATCATGATGTACACATGAAACAGATTTAATTAAAGCCTAATTTGAATTGATCACATTTACACTGGATGTTATGAACTACACATTAATATATTTGGGGCAGGGGCCATCAGAGGTTTACGTATCAGCGGACGATGAGTAATCAGGTGGCTGAACACAAGTTATGATACTGAATTCATGTTTATGCTAACTGACCACTTGATAGTAGTAACAAATCGTAATATTTAGTTCGGAGTACTGACTGAATCCTATCAATCAAATTACGGGATGACCACAAGTCTATGCAACTAGGAATTTCGGTGTACTTTATCTAATATTGATTTTTTATGATTTTATGATCAATAAGTGCATACACAACTCAGTCCCGTAGATCAGTCGCAAAAAAAGTAACTCAAAGGTAACGGCTCTGATTGCTAAATAGGTTTAAATCTCACGAGGAGTACATCATTTTCCTCAATATTGCAGATGAACTAACTAGCATGCGACCTGTGTACGGTTTTTTTTCAATCGATCACCACCAAATTCATACAAAAGACAATAAGAACAGTGACCGTGATACCAAAAACGAATTACATAACATTAAAGAAACCAAATTAAATGTTGAATTTTTTCAGAATTACTCACTATGATCGAGGCAAGAACATGGAACTTTCAATTAATACTGATCCGCTTATCAAAATAAACCAAGAATCACACCATTCACCAGTGTGATACAACAACATATCGCCTGGAACACGACGATAACGTGCGTAACGACTGATTGCGCGTAATTCATCATCTCGATATGCTGATGATGGGCCAGAAAGATTCAACCCTTCAATTGTACGAAGATAACCAAATATGAAGGCATTCTCCTGAAATCGTTTCAGAACACAGGTTTGAAGGAGATTACTTACGATTCCAGATGAACATAATTTCAAATTTGTGGTGACGTTATTACAATTTAATTAACTAAGAGTTCATCAATCTTTAATTTAAAGAAAAACTGAGTTAAGTAATTTGTATTAATGTCTTTACTTGGTTTTAAAGTTGGAATTGAAGATAACCTATTTGTTACGGTACGAAATGGCATGAAAATGCAGGTAACTGTAACAGAAACAAACTAAGACTTACAATGAAAATAACGGTCGCGAATATTACTAGTTTCTTACAATTGTCAAAAAACGCGAATTCCCATAGACATTAACGAATTTACTAGGATATTTTGAAAAAACGTCAGTGCTATAAGTGTAGTGTGCAGCGATAATATTTGGCTTTCCAATTTTTGGAGAAATTACGATGAAGTCAGTTCATGAATTTGATACAGATTCATAAAGAGAAAGCTACTTTTTCCTGACACATACTACTGACAAAATCAGCTTCCAGTAGTCTAATCATCATACTGAATATAAAGTTGATTTCTCCCATATATGATCTTTTCTTAAAAGCTTAAAACATATTTTCTGGATGTAACCAATGAATGAGAGTACCACCAAAACTGATGAAATCGGATTAGCAAAGTAGTACACACTACTTTTAACATACTGAACAAGTTCCGCATTTTCACTAGGAGAAATGTCTGATTAGTCCTTTTACAACCAAGCAGTGTGACCAGACGATTCCAAAAATACTAAGATTCCGATGCTATATATATATATATATATATATATATATATATATATATATATAATGGGTTTTCGTTCAGTTAAATGATGATGTATAGCTATTAAGGGTTATAGAAAGGAAACAATAGTAAATAAAACACAATACTATATTTAAATCCTGAAAAGACATGCTCAGAATGATACCGGAAAATCGTATTTGTTGGTGCGCAAGCTTCAGGAAAGACAGGAAAATGTTGTGGTGACAATATTCTACCGAAACTATTTTGAGAGCTTAGTTTTGAAAAAAACAGTAACACAACTTTCTGTCGTTCTGGAGGATCAATTTAATAATTATGACACTTAAATATTGTTACCTACGAGTTTAAACACTAATTTTCTCTTATTGAAATACAATCAGTCTACGTAACTTGTGTTTACTGAAGCTTTTCAACCTCTCCATAGGGTTGAAGTTCGAACATATCTCCTGGAGAAACTTCATGGAAATTTTGATCAACACCATAAACGCTGATAGACGAATACAAGCGATCCCATAACATGAGGCATGATAACACATCAATAAAACGGGTAATTTCGATTCTATCATCCAGAAATGTAAACGGCATTACCAGGTTGAAATTTCTGAATCATATAGCGTCAAAGTCGATCCAGAAAAAGTTATCGTTTGTTGGTTATGCAATGAATGGCACTATATACGTCCTTGGAACGAACTATTATACTCAGAAAGAGTATGCTACGGTTTCAATCGCCAACGTTCCAATATGTTCTTAGATTGACATAGTGACAAATATTACTGTTATTTTCAAAGGCGTATATAATTGGTTGAATGTCAATAACGTAATTAAATAGGACTGCTCAAAATGCATCCACTGATCCTTTGGAAATTTTCCGCAAACCGATATGTGAATTCTTACAACTAATTACCCAAAATCGTTAATCTGAAATAAATGGATGCGCATAGAAGATCCCACATTTGTGTTGGAACCGTTGGGAAGATTGCAACCTAATTATTTGGCTTCACAAGAAGTGGGAAGAGCAGAGACAGTAATAGTAATGTCCACATCAATACCCAACGCTGTACTGAGGAAAGTGCTAAGCATGTACAGAGACAAATAGCCGAAAAAAAAATTGTTGACGCTAAGCCCAAGGTTGCTAAGCCGTAAACTGAAGCACCATCTGCTAATAAACCTAAATAAAACCCAAGGAAAAGAAGGTCACCCAGCCAAAAAGCCGAGGGCACTGTAACAAAGAAGCCAGTAACTACAGACTCGAAGAAGCAGGCAGCACATATTCGCTATGATATCGTACATGGTGTTGAGAAAGGAGCCTCGATACAAGTTGTGAATAAGAGTAAGGGTGCATCTGGTAGCTCTAAAGAAGCCAATGCTAGTCTTAGACAGATTATGTGTAGTTGGGACCAGAATAAGACAGCAAATACTCTTCTGGAAGGGGTTTGTGAATGGCGCTTTAACCTTCAGAGAGCTAGCCATCGAGGCAGTGCATGGAGAGGCATCATAAAGTCAATAAGAACAATTCTGCGATTATTACTGTTACATAAGCTATCGACGTACGAGTCTTTGAGGACGTTTTCAATAGAGGCTGAAGGGACACTGAACAGTCGGCCACTCATAAAGCTAGTTAATGATTGTCAAATAAGTCATTGTTAGTTCATAGAGGTGCATCATTCGACGAAGCGCAGATAAGTAAAACATGCTTATATAACAGGATATGGAAGGAAACGCAACAACTAGCCAACCTATTCTGGAACAAATGGTTACGAGACTACCTACTAACCCTTCAGGCGAAATCCAAGTGGTTGGACATGAGAAATGTACAGCTGAAAGATTTAATATTAGTGAAAAATATGTGGTCGAAGGCTATAGTTAGACAGGTCAATTATGGTCCAGATGAATGAGTCAGAAGAGTTTGACTGAAGACAGTAACCGAAGAGATCAGCCGGGATATACGGGGCATGTGCCTATTGGAAGAGGCCGATTATTTGAGCGCGACAGTAGCGAAGCCTGGACTAGCCAATCAAATCGTTGCTTCAGCTCCCATCACGTCAATCTGGTCTGGTGTTTCTATAAACTATCCCTGTTGCATGTGACCTGCCAATTGAAGGACACTATTATCCTGTTATATTAGTGTGACTCATAATTTTTATTCATTTCGATAAAACATGCGTTCCAATTAATGACTATAATTCCTCTAATTATTATCCTAATCAAATTATTTTTACGTTTAGAAACAGATAAAGTTTGAAGTCGAGTTGTCCTTGTTCTAACTATAGCTTTCACACAGACTTGGGTCGCCAGTATCGCGTTTACAGTTCTAGTAGAATATCTATAGGGCAAATTAAATCCTACAATAACCAAGAGTAATCATAGGATATAGGCAACTATGCAACACAATCATACCAATAAACTGAACAACAAGCCCACAAAGTCGATCAGTATTTTTTTAAAATTAATGCCCACATTATTTGCAAGCCTGTGGCATAACGAGTTAATGAAAAAGAAATAGCACTGCAATTTTTCTAGCTATTTTCTGTTATCATACTAATTGATATCAACATCAGACGAAGTGTTCTCAGTGAAATGAATGAGTAGGACACGAATGATACCTGGGGCGATCTATGAGCTGGTACAATAGCCAACATACGAATGAAAGTCGAATCTTCATCCATAATCACCTACAGAGAAAAATAACGTAAATAACAAAGAAACTGATTGAAGAAAGAAGAAAGTACATGCAACTAACGATGTTGCCTAAAAACAATCATATTCAACTAGGTTTTATGACTATTGAATGAAACAGTAAGAATGTTAAACTTCTAGGTAAATCAGCCACAAAAACTGAACGGTAACCAATTTCATACACAAATAGTGGTACAACTAGGCACCAAACCAAATATGCATCACACAAATAAGATACAACTGTGAAGAGGAACAGAAAAGGAGTAAAATCAAAAACAGATAAATGGACAAAAATGAGTGAATGGGTTCAGTATATAATATTCACCATTCGTCAGGTTCTGGAACATAGGCATACTTATCGGCGTCCGACAATGGTGGTCTTTCTTGACTTAAAAGCAGCATTTAACTCAGTAGACCGCGAGATTCTGTGGCAGTGTCTGTCATTGAAAGGCGTACCTCAGAAGTACATAAACCTTGTGAAGGCTCTTTACTCGAACACCACCAGTTGAGTCAGAGCTTATGGCGAACTCTACCTGCTTTTGCAACCTCAAGTAGTGTTCGTCAAGGCTGTCCACTTTCTCCATTTTTGTTTAACTTCATCATAGACCTATTGATAGAAATACCATTCTCGTCTACTGAATTCTTGGGTATTGATCTCCTTCCAGGAGGTCCACTTATCGACTTAGAATACGCAGATGATATAGTCCTGTTTGGTAAAGACGCTGATAAAATGCAGTCTATTGGTAGCACTAAGCAACAATACCAGAATGTTTGGAATGCGCTTCTCTCCCTCTAAGTGCAAGTTGTTGCTTTAGGACTGGTCTGCGTCAACACCTGAACTAAGGATAGGGAGTGAAGTAGTCGAACGCGTTGACAACTTCACTTATCTTGGAAGTCTGATCAGCCCTAATGGATCGGTGTCTGACGAAATCTCAGCACGGATTCGAAAAGCTCGTTTGGCTTTTGCCAACTTACGTCACCTATGGCGAAGGCGAGATATCCGTCTATCAATAAAAAGAACGAGTATACTGCGCCGCAGTCCATTGTGTTTTAATTTACGGCAGCGAAACATGGCCATTAAAAGTAAAAGACACTCGTAAGCTACTAGTATTTGACCACAGATGCCTTAGAAATATTGCTGACGTCTGCTGGGATCATCGGGTAAGTAATAGTAAGGTTAGACACAGGGTATTAGAGAATGATGGTCAAAAAATTGATGAAGTTACAAATCTTCACCGACTGAGATGGTTGAGCCACGTGTTGCGTACGCCTGAACACCGATTACCACGACGCGCAATGCTAACCGATGTTCGGGATGGTTGGAAGAAAGTTATGGGCGGCCAAACCAAAACGTGGCATCAGTCAGTGCTTGATTTCACTAACTTCTAGTTTTATCCATGTCGGTAGATGCAGATTATTTGGTTGGGGTCCGCGTAACTATCGTAACCAAATGGTTAGAGACTCTTGGTGACATGGCTCAGAATCAACCACAATGGCGTAGGTGTATACACTCTGGCCTCCCTTATATCGTGAGATTAAAATTGCATTATACCTTTCATTCCACCAACTAGTTCTTTCTTCCTGTACTATATCCTTATATGTAATCTTTCTTTTATATATTACCACTATTGAGATAACTGCTTATGTGAAACCGGTGTTTGTCTTGTTGTGCTAATGAGGTGTGGCAACTTGGTCCGATGCATATATATGCTTGGTTCTACGTGGTAGATGACTGTATATAATAATATAATATATAAGTACAAACAGAAGAATCCTTCTATTTAGGGAAGTCCCTCTCGTTCCTTTGAGAATGTAAAAGAAAACTACAGTAGAATAATCATTGGCTTCTATTGAGTCATCTCTGATAGTCCCAAGCAACTGAGTTGCTCCATCTCTCGGACCCCAAACATAGTCATGATGGACCGACAGACGTCTACCTTAAACAGTTTTCTACCATGTCACGGCAATATCATAAACTGACCGCCTCACTTTTCCTCGTTTCATCCTAGTATCGGCAGAATTCTCTGGGATGACATTTATGACGCTGAAACTGGTGTTTCAAGGTGGCAACACTAATTGAAATATTACCATTGACCAATAACAAACCCTGCCAAATATCCGCATTACTAACATAACTTTTCTATCGGATGTCGGCAATCCTCCGGAGACAACGATGACTAAACGGAGAGTTGCCCGATATCACCACCTAGAAGTCAGCATTCACAAGCTTAGAACGAAACTGCTCTTGCCGATGCATTGTAGACCCGACCTTTAACAGCCAGATGCATTATAACGGTACCCAAGATGTCCCAGATCGGTATAAGCCGCTTGGGCCTTCAGTATAAGTAGATTATTTCCATCACTCAAGCTATCATTAATACTCACACAACTAACCAGATACGAAAACTTTCGGCTAATTTGAACGGCTCACTATCAAGAGTGCACGGATAGGCTCCTGCCAATTTTGTATTTATTTATTTGAACATAAATATCGGTACAAAGGGATACGGAATACATATGTGCCACACAAGTAGCTCGATTTGTGTGTGGGCTGTGATACTGCGCAGATGCCTCGACAGAAGCAGGTGGTTTTCTTAGGGGGCGACGCCTGGAGCCTTCAATCTAGGGGTCTGATCCGCAAGACAGTGGAGCAACGTCAGTAGGTGCAGTCCCATGGTACCCTGTGACAAACGATTGGTTCATACGCCATTTTTACATTCAGAATTCCATGTGCACCATTGGTTTGGAATCAGGGTCTTTCAAGTCCCTTAGGTGGACCCTACATATCCACCGACCCGCTTTCGTCCTCTTAATTTCGTAAACAACACCCCCACTGAGAGAAGGCAGTGAGGAATGTATCGTGGATAAATTTCTCGGTTGCCAAACAGAATAAGGCTGAGGTTGAATGTAAAAAATAATTGTACTTATTTCTGCACTTTAACGGATACGTTCTGCGTTAACATCTAGGAGCCTAACTTGCTAAATTTTCTACTGTCCATTTTTACAGTCTCAAGGTCGAGTGTGGAAATGGGAATTACTTCAGCTGTCATATGAAGGATATTTAACTGTGATGTGGATACTAGAGCACGTTTTAATCAAAATCGCCTCGTCCTATTAGAAACAAGACGTGTGACCTAACGGGACTGTGGACCTATCTGAGAGGGAATGCTTCGAAACAAAAGTAAAATCAAAGAAACGAAATTGGGAAAGACTATCAACGGTGACTAGACCAGCGGATAGAAACTAGCGCCGTAGAAAGGTAAGTGCTAATCACAGTAAGACAGAGAACGCATGCTTCTATCAGACTGCTATTGACTTTGATTTACATAACAAAGTGTTACCAACCACACGTTTTAAATTCCAACGCGATGCCACCCATGAATCCTACACTTTCCTGGAGAATTCAATGTAGTTTTACAAATCATATATAAACAAATTTTATTAAGTAATGCAAACTACGGATAGTCGAGGAGATGTGATGATAAGTATTGCAATACTAAGCCACAAAGTGTGAATGACATCAATAAAGCCTAACTGACTTCCGTACAATATATAATTAAAAGACAGGTGCAAAGCCGGTTAACTAGCAATGTAAAATAATATGGAGAAAATAGACCATTTAAACCAGTGTTCTAGTAAATTTCTTAGAATTGAGGTAATGTCGGTGAGAATCAAGACTATACGAATAAACTACATTGAGTATACGGATTTTTGACACATTTTTAACAAAACCAAAGGTAAACCACGAAACGTGGGTGTGATGTGACAATCTTAAAAACTCAGCAGCAATTTAAGCGATACTGTAATTATTACCCACCTTTTGTTAGCTAACATAGTAAGATCGCAAACCCTCAGATGAACACATCTAAACTAAAGGGAGCGCGGCTTTATTTTCGACAATAGATGAACATTTCAAACTTCAAAGTTTTCTGGCTAGAAGTACTAAACTATTTGTCCCTTAAGGCTTAAACATGGGTAGCATAGGTAGGTTTTTTATATACAGATTTTCGACCTTTGTTATGTTCGTTGTGAGTCTAAATCGTAAAAACACTAGTTAATAATGAGAAGATTAGTCGAAATGTAGCATTTAAATTGATATCCATAAGTGCTTATAGAACTCAAGTAGGGATTTAGAAGATAATATCACTTCCACTCCAGGCAGTGAATTGCTTAATTTGCAGATCCTAGCTAGAAGAAATGTTGGACGAGTTTTTATGGTCGCTCCATCTTAAATGGAATTTGACGGCAGTTGCTGGCTCCACAATAACGAAACAATAGTGACAGTTATAAAGCATGGTTCCTTCTTGAATTTTCGCAGATTTCGTCGCTGTGACACATTTGTAGCAATTGCATGTGAAAAGTCGAAATATGGACGTCTCACTTGACTATGTGTCATGCATTCGATTGTACAGACAGACGAAAATAAATAGGTGTGAATTAGTGGTAGAAAAGCTAAGTAGATAAGTTATAGATCGAAAGATCCATATGTCGGTTTAAAAATGCGTACATCACAGCAAACTGACTATAAATTAGATGGAAGATGAACACAAGGCATACAAATACCAAACGCTAGGTCACACAAAATAGTAAGAATGAAGGTCATATAATGGCTTACCAGGTTATAGTGATGAGTTTAATGAACAAATTAAAATAGACTGCGCAGTCTTGTGATACGATTTGCTTTGTGATATGCTCTTAGGTGTATTAAATAATAAAAGTGACCTGTTCGAGTCAAGAGTACTATCAGTGATTTAGTGTACTATGATGATATCTCCCCCCCCCACAAACCTTCTATGCAGTGAAGTCTGACACTTTAAACCTGACGAACTTGTTTAGTAATGTTTGGATTCTAGTCCGGTTACAGTTTCCGTTCGTATTTTCTGAACTCGTTTCCAGAGAGTAATATCCTTATCAACGTTATAAAAATGAGACAGGCATAACCCAACAGATGAGTCCACGGTTAGATAATGAAAAGGATTTTGGACGATCCGGCAAACGGACTACCTAATAACCGCATCCTAATCACCCGTAGAATCTGTCGGATAAATCAACCAAGTAAAATACGTTCATGTAAACCTATGACTGTATGAGTTTTTGAAACACCAAATAATCATGGCGCAAACAATTGTATTAATTTATTTAGTTGTTCAAAATAAACTCAAATCTATGAGAACTTTCAAATATATGCGACTGATTGCATGTCCGCCTGAATAACTCCTCATAATGAAAATACGAAATATAATTAATTTGCTTGCTCTAAAGAAATATTTGTAGCGTGGAGTCGAGTCGCGATTGACTGTGAACACCGCTACCAAAATACACGTGCCAAGAAAATCGGATGACGTAGGTTGAGCGTAACCAGATTTATTCGTTTGGCGATCTCGTGGTATCGAAGGAATACCGAGATCGTGCCAAGAACGGTACAAGCGGAAGCAGGAGTACAGAATACGTGCGAACAGCAGCAAAAAGCGCGGAACAATAATGGAAGGTAATGGAAGCACAAAATGGCTATAATTAGCACAGTTAAACAAAAGCACATTAAAACAAACACTGGTACAACTGTTTATAATAATAATTGTTTTTATTGAACCAGTCGTGTTCTCGTAATAAACGTGAGTCACTACAGGAGCCCCCCGCTAGAAAGGGTTTACACTTTCGATTAATAACGGTTTAAATCGTGGGACTGATCGTTTGTAGGACGAACGGATTGGCGAACAGGAAAGCGATTGTTGATCGTCGAGTAGCCAACGAAGGTTGTTTTCGGACAACGGTACCAGGATCGATGTGCTGTACTTGTTGCTTGAGTTGGCATGCTACACGAGTGGTTTGTATCCAGAATCTGAAGGTGGCGTTCGTAGGAAATGCGGACCAGAAACGCTGCAGACGTAGGACGAAAGCACGTTGAGCCGAAAGACCAGAAACGACCGTAAGGACCAAGTTCGAGACCAAGCGTGTGCCAAACATTCAAACCAATATATCGACTGAGTGCGTTGACAAGAGCGTGGGTGGCCAGTCCAGCTTTCGCCAAGGTTGACTGAAGTCGACGGAACCAAACTGCGGAGGTCGAATGCGTGGGCTCAGGAAACAAAAAAAATCAAAAAAGAGAAGTGTGTAGCATGCGTGTAGTATAGGAATAATCCTACACCGTATCGGTTGACTGTGCGGCTAGTCACGAAAGCGTACGGGCAACCGTACTCGGCGACCGGAACGTGGGACAGTAGTCTCGTTCGCGTCGCGTGAGCCTGCAATCTCATCCGAAGTCCAAGGTGGCGTGGTCTGCTGATCTGGACGTGAGACTGTTGTCTCTTCCGTAGACGGTGCAGATGACGCGTGCTGTTAACTGGGACGTGAGAATGAGGTCTCAGGTGTATCTAGCGTGGGACCTGAAGATGGTTTGAGGATCCCGCTAGTAGGTTTGATAGGTCTAGCATTGAATCTCAGGTTATCAGATAGGGCACTGTCATCGACGTGTGCTGGTTTGATACGATCAATGCTGACGATTTCGACGCGGCCGTGTCAATCAACCTTTAAGGTCTTTTCATGACGAGCGATCATGCGAAAAGGGCCTTCGTAAGGTTGTTGCAAAGATTTGCGTACCGAATCTACTCGTATGAAATCATGTGAACAGGTAGATAACTCTCGAGGGAGAGCGACCTGTCGATGTTGTGTTCGAGTTGACACCGAGGACAGCGTTCGCATAAATGCAGACAGTCGTTGAACGTAGTCTGATTTAGCGAAATCATGTCCGCTCCGTGGTGTGAAGAATTCCCCGGGCAGACGCAATGTCGTGCCGTATACTAGTTCAGCGGCGGAACATTGAATATCTGCCTTTAAACTCGTTCTGATACCTAAGAGAACGAGCGGTAAGGTTTCGTACCAGTAGTCGTTTTCGTGTGCTGGAAGAGCGCTTTTAAGTTGACGGTGAAACCTTTCGACTAAACCATTTGAAGCTGGATGGTAGGCGGTAGTGCGTATGCGTTCCGTACCAAACAGCCGAGTAAGTGAGGAGAATAGTGCGGACTCAAATTGTTGTCCTCGGTCGGTCGTGACAGTCGAGGGACAACTGTATAAAGCTATCCATCGTTCTACGAAGCGGTGAGCAACTGTCTCCGCCGTGATAGACGTGATGGGTATAGCTTCGGGCCATCTGGTGAAGCGGTCGATGCACGTGAGTATGTGATCATACCCATGCGATGGTGGCAGTGATCCTACAATGTCTAAGTGAACGTGATCGAAGCGAGCATCAGGCGTTGCGAAAGTGCCAAGGGGGGCGGCTACGTGCCTGTGCACTTTTGATCGTTGACATTGTAAGCATTGCTTCGCCCACATACGAACATCTTTATTCATGGACGGCCAGACGTATCGTGCAGCGATGAGACGTAATGTGGCTGCGATAGCTGGGTGAGATAATCCACGCAGGGAATCGAAGACGAGACGGCGATAAGTAGAGGGTACGATGGGTCGAGGAAGACCGGTAGAAGTATCACATAGAATGGTGCCAGAAGTCGTGGCTAAAGGTACTTCCTGATACTGAAGGGACGTAGAGTGTGGTGCTTTGGTACAACTGGGATCGCTTGCTTGGGCGGCGGCCATAGCAGGGAGATCGAGTACCGGCAGAGTATTGCATTCGTTTGGATTCGTGATAGAGCATCGGCAACACAGTTCGACTCGCCTTTGATGTGACGAAGGTCTGTCGTGAACTGGGAGATATAGTCTAAATGTCTGCACTCTCGTGGTGAGTAGCGGTCAGACTTGGTATGCAAAGCATACGTTAAGGGCTTATGGTCGGTGAATAAGATGAATTGTCGTCCTTCTACTGCGTGCCGAAAGTGTTTGTTGTCGCAGTAGGCTGCTAGCAGTTCGCGACCAAAAGCGCTATATCTCGTCTCCGTGGAATTAAGGCGTCGTGAGAAAAACTCGAGAGGTTGCCAACTACCCGAGATATTTTGTTGCATGACTGCTCCTATAGCGACATCGGGTGCATCAACCGCTATACTAAGCGTGGCTGATGGATCGGGATGGGCGAGAAGAGTGGCTTGCGCAAGAGTCATTTTGATCTCTGTGAATGCAGTACGTGCAGAATCGTTCATTTGTAATCTGCGTGGGTTGCCGCGAAGTAAGTCGGTTAGTGGTCGTAACCGTTCTGCCGCATGTGGGATGAAACGACGGTAGAAGTTAACCAAACCGAGAAAAGCCTTCAGTTCCTTGAGTGAGGACGGCTCGTTGTACTCCTTTATTGCTTGCACTTTGTCCTCACAAGGTAGAATACCCTCTTGGTTGATAACATGATCCAGAAATATTATTTCTCGTTTACCTAACTCGCATTTGTCTGGGTTAACTACTATTCCATTATCCGAAAGGCGTTGGAATAATAGCGTAAGATGTTGATAATGTTCATCTACGTTTGATGATGCGATTAGCAGGTCATCAGTATAGACGTGAACAAAATCGAGGTCTCGTACAATGCTATCGATAAACCTTTGAAACGTTTGAACAGCATTCCGTAATCCAAATGGCATTCGTAGGAACTCAAACAAACCGAAAGGAGTCGTGATAGCAGTTTTTTCGATATCTTCAAGAGCGACTGGGATCTGATGATATGCTCGTACCAGATCGATCTTAGAAAAGATAGTCGTGCCCTTGAGCGATGCCGTGATGTCGTGTATGTGGGGGATGGGGTAGCTATCAAAGCGCGTAACTACGTTTAGAGCTCGGTAGTCGCCGCATGGTCTCCAACTAACCCCATCTTTTTTGCGCACCATGTGAAGAGGAGAGGCCCATGGACTGTGAGAAGGACGAATAATACCAGTAGCTAGTAAATTGTCAAACTCACGCTTAGCAAAAGCTAATTTGTCCGGTGCCAGTCGGCGAGGTCGTGCCGTGACTGGCGGTCCGCGGGTGACTATGTGGTGTA